TCTGACAGTGAAGAAGCTTCTCTTGATGTCCAGCCTGGGGACAAGGAACTGAGGGAAGAGGCATAGTCTAATCAGCTTGTAGGTCAAAAAGTTGAGGGGGGGTAGCAGGCTTTCCAGTTGCCATGTGGGCTGGGCCATGCCTTTTAGAGGCATTCCTATGATACCAAATATCCCTTCCAAATAGGACCAGGCACACACTGTAGCTTGCACTTGGACACATTAATACACAGCCAGGAGATTCTAAGGATCATGAGGATGGGGAGAAGCAGTAGAAATGTATATTTTTCTAGACTTCCTCTGCTGCCTAGACATGACACTGCTGAAACAGATTTCCTGGGAACATTCTTCACGACAAGAAAGCTAGTTTCCTACAGCACCAGAAGGGCAACACAGAGGGCAAAAACAATGACAGAAAATGAAGGAGCCACAGCATTCTAGTTAAATGTAGGGCTTTTTGCCACTTGCATACCCATGGACATCCTTGCAGCCCATTCCTGCAGTGGGAGGAACTCTCTGGATGCAAGTGTTCCTCCATGGTATTGGTTTCCCTTCAGTAAGGTCAGTGGAGAGGTATGCCATTTTGTAATATGTACATTTATTTACAAATATACATGCTAAGCATACACAGGTGTAATGTGGTTTAATACTATATCAGATAATACCCTTCCCCCCAGATATCTAGAGGAATCATCATTGCTATAGGATTATTGTAGAGAGCAAGAGTTGCATCTCTCTTTCAGTTCTACTTCAAAACCTGCAGGTGTGTCCTTTTTGCAGCCTGTTTATACACAGACCTTACTTAATCCTGCTTTTGTCTAGTGAGATGGATAAGGATTAGTCATTTCTGCCTTCTTGGGTCATCTTAGCTCCCATTGAGATGCATCAGTTGAATATTACAAGCTATCAAAATCCTTTGTAAAGCCTTAAGACATACTGCCTCAAGGGACCCTCACTGATATCTCTAGAAATCATGTAACTCTGATAGGAAATCAATAATAGGAAAATTTTAGTAACCAAATATTGATCCAAGTTTGAAGTATAGAACCAGCATATGTGCTTTAGCAGTTACACTGCAGCTGATCTGGTTTTATATTTTTTTGTAAGTATATTATCAATCATGGAGGTAAAGGGAACTCAGGCTCATGAGAAGAACACTAGAGAGGATCAGAGTGATATTTCTTCTCTGTTCTCTTGCTTTTCATATCATTGGCATATTATCTTCTTCCCTATGATGTTCTGCAAGGTATATTACATACTTTGTAGCTTATTTCAAAAGTACCATAACTGAGCATGTAAGATTTTTTTCACATCTCTTCTCCTGTTGTTGAGTAGATATCTTATCTACACTGGTAGCACTGTTATATATATGCCTGTTCCCTTCGACAGACATGGAGCCACTATAGTTTAGAGGGTTGTCCAAACCATGATTTGCAGAGCTTCGTAGCGATCCCTGGGCTTGCTTTGTCCAAGCAAGGATGACACAACAAGCCCCGGTGGAGGGCAAGCCCTACAGAGCCATTTGGCGAGAGCAGCGGACAAGCTTGCTGCTCTGGCCAAGTGGCTAGCAGGCGACCGCCACCGTCAGCCGCTTCAGAAATGCTGGACCAGCACAGGGCGGGTGGTGGGCAGCAGGCAAAGGGAGGCAAGTGGCCCTCGGAAACGCTTTTGGCTTGGCTGTGGCTTGCCTTTTTATGTTGAAAGCGTTTCTCAGACAAGCAGCCCTCCCAAGGAACTGCCTGCAGTGCTCCCGCCCCACTTTTTCCCTGCCGTTATGAGCACGAATAATCATGCTCAGCTGTATATACAGTCTGCAATGGGCATTTTTGCAGAGATGATGGGGGTTTCTGGGCACTACTGGTCAGGAATGGTGGCTAAAGCTAGCGATCACCCACACTCTGCAGTGACCAGCAGGGGCTGCAGGAAGTCCCTCCCCGCACTTGACTAGCACCCGTCAGGTGACAGGCAGTGTAGCACCTTGCAAAACCCACTCAGCAGGCACTTGGGAAAAATGGGTGTGGTAAGCATGTGTAGCAACAGCAGCTTTGTGGGGGGCAGGTTGTGGTGCTTATAGGGCCAAGTGTGGATAACTTGGGGCAAAAGAACCCATAAAAAGCAAAGATCCAGCTGAAAGGGTTGTTTTGGGGGACATTGCTTAGTTCCCCCACCCTTTCAAGTGGGATCACCAGGGGCTTGGGGGAACAATCGCAAGCTCAAAATGTTCTCTCTGAGTTGCCATTGACCCTGAGCTCCTTTCATTGGGCTGGGGAGCAGCAACACTTAGAGGAAGCCTCTGTGTGTGGAGGGAGTAGGCACTTGTCAAATTGTGCAAGTTTCTCTCCATGCTAGCAGCAGAGAGACTTGTGAAGCTGGAGGGGCAACTTGGACAACTGATCCCTCCATGCCTCCCAGGAGATCATGTTGCTGAGAGGGTGGAAAGAGCTCCTTTTCACAACGCCCAATCGTGCTTTACAAGGAGCTGTCTGGTCCTGTGCTGTCAAATTAGTAAAGCAGTGGTGGGGATACTTCCTTATAGACTGTGCGAGGCACAACAGAAGCTGGGTGGCTGCTGGTTTTGGCCAGCAGCCACCTTCCCTGGGCACTACCTATCCCAGGCACAACCTCCTTTAATGCCAATTGTTTCATTTACGCAAAGAGGCGTTTTCAGTAAAGCAAACATGTGCAATTATTTGCACACATAATCACTGTGGGAAAAAAAGAGAGAGAAGCAGTCATGAGCAGCTTTTCCATGTTACTGCTGGAACTCGTATGTTCCTAAGACAAATTGTTTTACTGTGCAAAAATAAGTCAGTTTAAAACATGTTAAACAATTTAGAATGAAATCAGGCCCTGGGCCCTCTCAGAGTTGTCCATTCTTGTTCTAGATGTCTCTCATATTGTACAAGGCATTTCCTCAGATGGCAATGTTTCACATACAGTAGGTGTATAAAGTTTCAGCACTTTGAATCATCAGTAGGGGGAGAAAGCCCTCATAATCAATTAAGATGTTTCAGACCTGATCTGAAATGTTCTTGCTAATGACAAACTAAACATTCTCAGATAAGAAATCAGGGAATTGCAAAACAGGTGCCAGCTCAGTGATTTTTGTTTTCAAGAATGAAGGCCTCTCAGTTTTGGGAGATGGGATTTTTTAAATGCAAATAGCAGGGCTTTTTGCCTTAAAAACAAAACAAAACAAAACGGCAAACCTTAAAAACAGTAGTGGTGGATGTCTTTTGCTAGATGCCTTCTGATAAATACTATTTTCCCTCCCTGGGACCTCTGTAGAGATTATACTGCCCCTGGGCCTTCTGTAGGGAGGGATGAGGGAAATGGTTTCTGGCTCTCCACTGGTGCCTGCAGTATATTTTATTTCTTCCTCTTCAAAATGGCCCTAAATAGGAATGCAAAATTCATTCTACCAGTGTTTTGTAAATTGTCAGGCACCTTTTGTTTTATCATCTACTCATTGTCAAAATTTGATTTGGTCCATATCCTGAACTGGTGTTTGTGTGCTTATTTGCATTTTTGTGCTGGTTAGCCCGCATAAAGAACTCATGCTATAATTCTTTGATTATAAAAATTCTGGAAGGTAAAAAAATTCTGTGGAATCCTTGAGATCAGTGAAAAGTCACTCTGCCGCACTGGATGTATAGAAATCTGAACTCACTGGAATCCTTTGCAGATTCCTTTAAATTCACAGTCTGAGAGCTTTGTGACTTTGAGGCCCATTCCTGGTGTCGCCCTAGTTCTTGTCAGCTCACATACAGTGACCAGAAGGCAGTAGTATTCCATGATCTCTGAAACCGCCGGACCATTTTTAAAGGCTGCTCCTTAAAAGTGCAATAGAGTAGGTCAATCTGGAGACTGCATGGAACAAATTAGAGAACATCCAGGTCTCCTGTCTTCCAGCCACTGCTAAAGCTCCTAAAAGACACCCCAAGCCATAGATACTGGGGCTGTCTTCTCCAGATTGTGATCCTGATCTGATCCACCTGAAAATCTGTTAGGTCCAAGACAGTCTGGGCCTGGGGATGGTTTCCGGGGAAACTGTCATAAGCCCTAGCTACATAGCATCACTATGACAATGTTCTCATAGTAAAATACAGGAAAGAGATTTCCAGTCTCACATCACCACTCTCTGATGAATTGCGTAGGATTCCTCTCCCAACTATAAATGTGGGAACAAGCTGTCGCATCACAAACAGGGAGAAATGGCCTAGTCAGGAAATCATGCATGGTTGGCACCATCCTATGGTGTACATGTGCAGCCTTAGCTTTACGTGCAAGCCCTGGAAGTTAGTGTAACAGGCAAACTGAAAGTATGGCTGATTTTAATACCGGTGTATTTTTAATTTAATAATATTACCAACATTTGATAAAATACCTGTGTCAACATCTTTGAGTTTTGTTTATGGATCGCTCCCCTTCTAGTTGTGACTTCGAGCGATTAGATAAACATTTCCAAAATTCAGGAGCCCGCGAAGGAGGGCGGGCTGCACCGACCCGGAGGAGTAAGGCCACTTTATGGCCAGTGCAATCAGGCCAAAGGAAATTGCAGCTCGCTCCCGCGTTCGGAGCACTGAAAACTGGAGCCAACTGGGCTCCATCTGTACTCCCGATATGGCTGCTCGAGTGTTCCCTGCTCCCTCCATCGGGCGCGATCAGGCGTGCTTGACTTGCGAAGTAGCCAGGACAGGACGGGAGACTTCAGGCTCTGAAGAACAGGAGCGGCGACACAACACGCATGCGTGCTGACAGCGCTTTCAGGCTGCTGTTATTACGAAGCTAACGTTCCACCCGCATGGAGATTTCGCACGAGTCCCCTCTCATTGGCTGCCTCTCATCCAGCACGAGCGTGTATGCCACACCCCTTTGTTCCGTATCTTCCCTTGGAGGCGAGGAGGGCCAATGGCTCGCGCTCCTCCTTAGCCGGCGCGCCCTCTTTTTTCTTTTTCTTTTTTTTATAGTTCCTCAGCTCGGGTTACTTCCTCTCCTCCCTTCAGGCTTTGGTGCGCGCGTGGGAGCGCGTTTGCGCGCGCCTTTCCCCCACCCTCTGCGTTCTGTCAGTGTCTCGCGCTCCTCCAGACTGTTCGTTCGAGGCTCCGTTAAGCGGCGGTGGGTTCCTGTTTCCGCCTTTTCATCCCACTCTACCTCCGCCCTCCCACCAACCCTCCCGCTTCCATCTTCTTCGCCTTTCGCGCGCCGCCTCCATCAGACCCGGCACCTCCGGAGGAGCGCCGGTGTCGAGACCGGAGGTAGCCAGAAGCCGGACCGAGTCTGCGGACAGGCAACGCTGGGACAAATTCGGGTAAGGCGAGGCCGAGGGGGGTGAAGGTCTGTACTCGAACTTGAGCGGATGCTGAGCTCGGCGCTGGCTCCTCGGGCTTTAACCCATCCTTGGTTACGGGCCTGGCGCAGCAGCAGCGGTTGCGGCTATCGAAGGCGTGTGGCGGTGGGCAGAGATGGGAAGGAAGCTCCGGACGGCGGACGAGTGGAAGGAGAGGGCTGTCCCCCCCGCCTTGGGTCCCTCTGCCTTGCCCTGGACAAAATCCCCAGGGAAGGAGGAAGGGATGTCATTCCGGCCAGGGCCTGGGCTCCTCGGATAGCTAGCAAGGGTGCCTCAGGGCCGAAGGGGGTAGCTAGGTGGCTCGCTTGCTGGGATTGTAGCGTTGCTATGTGGGTGCTGGGGAAAAGAAAGCGGCGGCGGCGGCGGCGCCAGCCGCGGTAGGGAAATTGATGGAAAGAAGAGAAGAACGTGCACAAGCTCCAAGTCTGGTACACAGAGTCGCCCGCCAGAATCGCGGCGAGCTGTATAAATGCCGCGGGAGCAGGCAGCCGCCGGTGTGCAGAAGCGGGGAGGGGAGGCGGACTGCAATCTGGGCAATAGGTGGGGTTGGAGGCGGCGGGTGCGTGTGGAGGGCGAATATGAACAAATCTGTGAGAGTGCTTTGCTTTCTTGCATGTTCTTACCTCCTCTATTCTTCTCTTTCCCCCCTTCCTGAGATTTAGAAGTGGTGGCTTTAAACTTTATTTTCAGAGTCGGGAAGTCCTCCTCCCCATAGCTTAGTGGACGTGTACATGTTTTTTCGGAGCGATATACCACAGCAAACGATGGCTGCCTTTTCATGGGCAGAGTTAAGAAACATTTTGAGGAGACCACCCACTGTTCAGAAAGAGTGGTTGACACGTTAGGCTTGGCACAGCCGGTGTTAATATGTTTTAGTCAACATGCCAAGTAAAACAATGTGCCTTTGTGTTTTACCTAATTTATGCTGTTTGTCCTTGGGTACCTTTTAATATTTATTTGTTTGAATTTAACTTGTTCAGCTGTTTTGTAGTGAACTAAACTGTTGAGCGGCATGTTTTGTCATAAAACCTGGTATTATCCGTTTAACATTCAGGGATGATCCCTGTTGAAAAAGATTGAAGAAAGTATGGTAAAGCAGATTGTAAAGATCTCTAATATACACAATTGTGATTTAGTTTGATGTTTTCTGTTCTGGTAAATATGGTATTGTACAGTTTCCATAAACATGTTCTAGGCCTTGACTCTGCAAATATTTACATACATTCTAAACTTGACGATTGACACTTTAACTTCTAGGAGTTGTCCCTTTTCCTTTAGTGGCAAAATTAACAGTACTAAAAGTGATGGTGTTCGAGGACCAAATCCTAGCCCTTTAAAGTACTTATGTGAATCAGAATTTGTTAGCCTCTATAATCCTTGACCTTGGAATGGAATTGATGATTTAAGTTGTCTTTAACAAGGCCTATTGAGGTTAATGCCATATTTAAGATTATTCTAGATTATTTTAGAAAATAATCTCATGCTTTAAACTTTCAGGGGTCTTAACATGTAACAAAAATAAAGTTATAGGTTCAGATATATTCTTAAAATAAGCATTTGCAGATCAGTCCCCATGACTACTGATAAGAAATTCCTCATAACTTTGTCAAAGAAAGAAACCTGGTACAGCCTGCCTGTTTATTGATGTGGTTTAATTTTGAATAATAGCTTTGTTGATTATGTATCCTTAAAAATGCACTAACATGCTTCTGTCCTGCTGATGTGCATACTTGCATAGTATGAAAGCAGAAAACTCAGTTATAAAGCCATTATAACATATACCGTATTTTTCGCTCTATAAGACGCACTTTTTCCCCCCTCAAAAGTAAGGGGAAATGTCTGTGCGTCTTATAGAGCGAATGTGTGTGTGCCCGACGCCCGGGATGCTGCCGGCCCGCTTGCACTACGTGGCACCACCTGGCCAGCATGCTCTCGGCGTGCCCTGCTCCCCCCCCCCCGGCGCAGGTGAGAGTTGTGCCGCTCAGGAGGAGGAGCTGCGGGCTTTAACCCGCTGGCCGCACGGAGAGACTGCTCACCCCCACCACCTGGGAAAACCTGCCGCCACTGCGCCGCCCGGAAGACCGCTGCTGGCACGCTGCCGGCGCGCCCTGCTCCACCCCCCCCCCGGCGCAGGTGAGAGCTGTTAATCACAGGTCAGTGTGTGTTTTCAAATGGCAACCCATCTTTTAATGAAGCCCATGGGGAAGTGATGGGGAATGTGCCTGTGATTATCAGGAAGCTTTCCACGAATCAGTTATCTGTTAGTTGATCAGACACATTTTTTTTAGGATCAGTGGATATTTGAACAGCATTGCCTTCGTGTATGAAGTTTATTCTTCAAAGGCTACTTAGTCCGCTGTGTGTTTGATTTACCATACAATATCTTATTTTTTGTCAGAAGTTTTTTTCTATTATTTACTAGTAGGGCAGCATGGACATTACTGGCTTTTTTAGATTTGTTATTGAATTGTCTGCAGCAGCTCTTGTATAACTGGTGTAGATTGTGGATTCCTTCAATAATTCCACTAATGACTAAGAAAGTGATGTCAGTGATTGTGAGCAACAGAGCTTCATAAATTCTGACTCTAGTGATGATGAGTTCTATGGGTTCAACGAAAACTAGAAGAGTACTAGAACTTTAAAGTCTCTCTTATGTTAATGATAGTGATGATGGTTCTTAATGCCACTGTTAACTGCTGTTCACTTTACAAGGTTGAAATACGGTATTACTGTATTCTGTTATAGTTTATTAAATAGTTTAGTAAACCATTTGATTCAGAATATTTTTTTCTTGTTTTCCTCCTCTTAAAACTAGGTGTGTCTTATGGTCAGGTGCATCTTATAGAGCAAAAAATACGATATATGCTCAGAAATAAGTTCCGTTTGGTTCAGTGGATCTTATTCTTTACTTAAGTATGTATAGGATTCGTGTTAGATAGCATCTTGGGAGAGATTTTGTGTTTGATTTTTAATTGTGCACAATTGTTTTTCCTTATGTTTAGAATAATTCTTTAATACGGACACTTTACCTTTACAAATAGTACTTATTTCAGAAATGTAAATTTCTGGCGGTCAGAGTACTAACAGTTAATAAAAACAGGGACTTAGGGGTTTCTTCCTTTCTTATTTTGGGGGGTAAGGCACATGTATCAGACTTCAATAGTTTCTATTTGCTTAGATTTACTTTATGTGATAGTGAAGGTTAATAAAGGCTGAATGTGTGATAGGATGGCATTAACTCTGCTCTGTAGTCAGGTAGGCTATTTAATAACTTGGAAATAGTAAACCTAGGCTATTCATATTTGAATAGGTTACGATCACTTTAAGAATACAGATTAGCACGTTAGTGTACATACAATAGAAATGAGTAGATAATTCTTCCGTCTGAAAGCTGAGTGTTTACTATTAAAACAAACCTATAATGAGTGTCAGTACTATTCTAAGTAGACTAGATTTCTCTGTTTTGTAGATATGGATGATACAACTAACCTTTTAAAAACATCATCATTTCTAGAGATTAGCAGTATATCATTTGAAGGTGTGAAATAAGATTTAAATCTATGGCTTATGTAGCTGCATATTTATCATGAATAAAGTAATTACACTGTTAAGTTGGTCTGGAGGGGGAGCTAGTGCCAAAGCAAAAGAAAATGTAAATTTATGTTAGAATCTTTCAAACCTCACAGGATATTTTCCAGTTTGATTGTGTTGGGTTCATGTTAATGTTGTAAAATGTTTGCATAGAAAACAAAGCCATTTTATTGCACTGTATTATAATGCATATTAAGTAAAATATGTTCATAAAGTTTGCCTATCAATATGTCCCACAAACAAAACATAAATTGCATATTTGGTATAGAAGTCCAGAGACATGTCATAAATAAAATATTTTATTTCTAATGTAATCATTATCTAATGTAATGAAATGTACCATTATGACTGTCAATTTTAGTATCAAAGTTCTTAATTTAAACCTACTTTTCTTGAACTGATTTTGTAGCTTGATTCATAACCTAGTTAAGTTACAGTACTTGGATGTAAGTAGGTTTGAGTTGCATTTCTAAATGCACTTTTTGGGGGAATAAAGCCCATTGAACACAGTTTGCTTCCAAACTGAGAAAATGCTCCCTGTAGAGTAGTCTCAAAGGACTGTACAGTATCTGGTGCTCTGGAGTTCCTGCTCAACAACATGAAGATGTAAGGTATTTGTCCCTTTAAAAGATGTATGACCCATCAAGGGACTTCATGTGCACAAAAGTACAGTAAGGAGACAACTTAGAGCCCCTCACTTAATTGTGTAGGCTGCCTACTCAGCCTTACCCCAGACACAGTCTGCATAGATGAAGCTGTGTGAGTAGACTTCCATGCAGGCTAGAACACTGAGATCACGGTCTTGCTACTGGGGAAGCATATATGTGTAGGCCTCAGCTATGTAGCCATCCATACTCAGTGTATGGATGTTGGGTGTGGGCCTGTGATTTAATGCAGGCCCACACCCTGAATTCAATTAATAATTTTCATCCATTAATTAATGAAAATTAATTTGAATGAAAAAATTAGGGGCAGAGACAATAGTTTGTATACAATCAAAGGGGTTTAGAGCATTAGAAAGTTCTAAAAACCATACTTGGAGAATTGCTTGATTAGAGTCAGTGCAAATACTTCAGTAATGGGCAAGTTTTCATGTTCTGTTGTAAGTTGGGCTGCTTTGATGTTGTATGGAACATAAATAGCTTTCTTATTCCATTTCAAACCATTAGCCAATCTACCTGAGAATTGTTTACACTGATTGGTGCAATCAAGAGTCTTGAACCTAGTGATGTCAAAGATTAAGTTGGAATCTAAGCATCAGAAACATGTCATCCATCTCTCTGTTATGGCCTTTTACAATGTGTGATCCTAGCAACTTTAAATTTAGAAGTAAGATATTTTTCCTGTAGTAAGTAGTTTTCCAAACTGTT